AAGCCGTGGAGGTAATGAGGGAGGGACGATGAATTGGGAGTGAAGGATGCACTGTGAGGAGGAATAGGATAGAGTCACTGACGTTGGGGGTGGGTAGGCGAAGGAAACGGAGTGAACGAAAATTGAAATTTCTGAGATGGAAAGCCTATTTTTCTCTCTCCCTGCACTTTGTTGAGTGACCTCTGCGCTTTGCTAATAGCCTTTTACCCCTTTCAGCCCACCCCCTCCAAAGGATGGACTGGATCCACTGCAATAAATGCTACCTGAAACCATCCAGTAACATCCGCTTCAGCATCTCCAACTGCAAACACATAGTCTGTCACAAATGCATCGAACAAGGTAAGGATGGGTGTGGAATTACGCCGCCTGGGAGGGTACATGGCAGCTACCAGATTGCTCTGCACCCTACAGTCCTGAGCATCTCCCACAGCTGGCTGACCGGTGATTATTGTTAAGAACCAGACCAAATCCCCTCAAACTATATTAAGCCGAGACCCTAACTTTTTCTTATTTTAAAGGCAAGTTCCAAGTGTTGTGTTCCAGATGCAATTCACCTGGTCCAACTACCAGTCTTGAAGCAAAACACACGTTATTCATACACTATTGTCAATACAGGACAAAAGAAAGATGAAATTGGAGTAACTTAACTCTGTTAGGGAACTTAACAGAATAACAGATTATTTTACTACTAAACAGTAACTGTTCCAATTTTGTACCATCCCACAAACACACCCTTGGCAAAAGGCAAGCCCAGAAAAATAGATTGCCTCACATGCAATTCTAAAGTCCAGTAGGAAAAACATGAAGAGGAACCTCTTGAGAGAGAGAGAGAGTGGCAGGGAGAGATGAACTGTAGGTTCAAAACCCCAGCAACTCTGGCTTCTGAAAAACTAAAACTAAAACTCCTGGGTCTGTGGGAGCCTTCCCCACCCATTCAGGCTGCTTCTATTGTTGCTACGTTTAAAAGAGCAAGCTCAAGGCCTCACAAAATGTTTACTTTATTGGCTTTGGAGCAGACTGCCCACCACCTCTGTCACAACCGTTCTTCACTTAAAAAGAACAGGACAAAATGCGCCTCTTAAAGCCATAGCATCATCACATCATCTGCAGCTCGCTCCTGTCCGACAGGGAGACCTCTGGGGTGTTTAAAAGCGCGGGAAGTTTGTTTACAAAGTAGCGCACTAACAAGACACGCTCCGGTATCTGATCGATATGTACGGCCCGGGGACAGCATGCAGCCATTGGCGATGAATGGTTTCACATGTGTCTCTCTCCACATCCCTCTCTCTTTTCTTTTTAACAGATAAATGCAGCGTCTGTGGAATGGCCTGCAAACACTTGGCACTGACAGACAATGTAAGAGTCGACTGACTGATCTCCATTACTCCTGCTCGATTTTGGGAGGGGTGGGGGCGAGTGTGGAACAGAGGACTTGGGGTTGGGGGGGTACTTGATGTCTAGTTGGTGAAATCGTGGAACACGTATGAGCACAAAGGGTGTGAGAGATTAGGAGATTCTCAGTGCCAGCCGTTATCAGTTAGTAATTTTGAATATAATGTTGATGGATTTTTGTTCCTCTAAGTTAAAATGGGATACAGTCCAAAGGCAAATATGTAAAGTTGGGATGCAGTTGGACCCTCGATTGGCAGAATCATTCAGAGGGGATGAGCAGCCAAAACCTCTTCCTATTTCGGTTTCCTGTTTAAGAGAATTACATCTCTGTACAATTTAAAACAATGAACTGTTACAATCCCAGCTGCTGATAATACTGGACCAGTCATATCGAATTGCAGTGAAAAACTTGGCTTGACAGACCACAAGCTTTACTTTTTGCAGTTTGATTACCATGGGTGGTCAGTCACCGCACATAATCACACGAGGCTGCCAATGTTCTTCAACAAAAGGTCGCAAGTTTGTTACACAAACGGAAAAGAAAGGGCTATATAGATACATGATGGCTTAGGAAGTTCTTCACGGAATCAGCAAACAGTGTTCAACTTTGTTCCCCCACAATATTCTTCACACACACCCCATACTAGTTGAGGATCGCGCCTCAGTTTCTCACTTAGAGTTATAGAGTCATACAGCATGGAAATGGGCCCTTAGGCCCAACTCATACATGCCAAGTTTCCCAAATTAAATTAGTCCCATCTGCCTGCATTTGGCCCATATCCCTATAAACCTTTCCTATCCATGTACCCGTCCAAATGTCTTTTAAATGTTCTAATTCTACCACTTCCTTTGGCAGCTCATTCCATCCATGCACCACCCTCTGTGTGAAAAAGTTGCCTCTTAGGTCCCTTTTAAGTCTTTCCCCTCTCACCTTAAACCTATGCCCCTCTAGTTTTGGACTCCCCCCTACGCCAGGGAAAAGACCCTGGCTATTCACCCTATCCACCCATTCACCCTCTATAAGGTCACCTGTCAGCCTCCAACACTCTAGGGAGAAGGGTCCCAGCTGATCCAGCCTCTTCTTATAACTCGAGCATTTCGGTCCTGGCAACATGCTTGTAATTTATTTTTTGCAACCTCTTCAGTTTAATATATTCTTCTTATTGGCAGGATAAAGTTACTGGCTGTACACCTTAACCCTTCCAAGAGCAGGCGTTAGCAGAGTCAGGCTGTCACTGGGTTCGTGATCCCAGAGACTAATGCTCTGGGGACGGCATGTGCAAATCCAGAATTGGAAGCTAGTCTCAGGGATGGTGACCATGACAACCGTTACCAATTGTGGTGAAAAACCCCATTGGGGTCACCAGTGGGGGGCACGGGTGGGGGGGGGTGGGGTAGGAAATGGTGGGGGTCGACTCTGAAGAGTCCTCAGTTGGTAGCCAGTTAGAGGTGGACCTGTGAAAGGGTGTTTCCTGTTGGTTGGGGGAATAATGGTTGCTGTCTTAACTGACTGTTTGCAGTCTTGTTGTTCTCAAGACCTTCATGCCGGTTCCTGTGACTTAAACCACTTTCAGTTCCGACAGCTTACACAAACTGTCACAGCTTGGAAACGTGAACTGACATGGCTTTCTCTGGGGTGAGCAGTTTTATGAGGGGTGCATCGATTACTGCGAAGTGAGTATTATGTCGGATGTGTTTGAGTGAGCTGTGTGTGAGGGGGATGTGCAACAGTGAAATGTTTACAAGGTCATGTGTGTTACAGTGAGCAGCGATTGTGAGGCAAGGTGTGTGTGTGTGAGAGTGTGTGTGTGTAGTGAGTTACGTCGGATGTGTAATGGTAATGGCCACCTGGGGGGCAGTGACACAGTGGTAATGTCACGGGAATAGCAGTACCCAAAGGGAGGTGCTGACCTCGGGATGTTATCACTAAACAGTTAACCAAGAGACCCAGGTAATGCTCTGGGGACCTGGGTTCGAATCCAGCCATGGCAGAATGTGACTTTGATAAAGGTCTGGAATTAAGGGTCGAATGTTGACCATTAAACCATTGTTAATTGCCAGAAAAAAAAACCCATCTGGTTCACCAGTGAATGAAATGGCCATCCTTACCTGGTTAGGCCTGCATGTGACTCTGGAGCATGTTGATTCTCAACAGCCCTATGGGCAATGAATTCTGGCTTCGCCAGCGATGCCCACATCGCCCGTGAATGAAAACCCAAGCCAATGCTCTGTGTTCAAATTTCATCTCAATCGCAGATGATAGAATTCAAATTCAATAAAAATCTGGAATAAAGACTTGGCCTAATGGCCCACTGTTATTGCCATTGATACGATGCTGGGATAGACAGCCAAACCAAACCAGCCTTTTTCACTTCTGTGTTCACAACACTGTAAAAGTAAGACCTTGAAAGACCCTCAAAGTTGACCCCAGTGGTTCCTAACCAGACTTTGAATAACCAATTCCAGACTCTGAGTAATCAATTCCGGGCACCAGGTTGCATCTTAGAGAAAAGATTTAATAATTGCAATAACTTTAGTAGAGGAAAATTAAACTACAAAATCATCCAGTTGGTCTATGCAATAAATCCAAAAAAGCCCTTTGTTTTCAGCCCATTTGCACAAAAGTCACAGACAAATAAACACAGTTAAGAATTAGAACATAACAATTGTGGCACAGTTGCAGTGTCCCTGCGTTCAAGTCCCACTTGGTCCATATACCTGTCTGACAAGCTGGATTCAAACTATCTACAACAAAACTGGACGGATAATTTAAGTAGTTTTCACACTGCACTGTTCCACAGACATAGATAATGACTTCTTGTTTGATTTCCTGAAGATGTCGATCAGGGTCAGCTTTACAATTCACTCAATAAAGGCAATAACATTTATAACTTAGTTTTCTATTCTCCAAGCTTCCAAGAGTTGGTGGGGAAGGATAGGCAGGGAGCTTTCAAACCTTCACGCTATAGCATCAACAACCGAACTCATTCTCTACAGGAAACATAGCCCAAAACCCAATTCAGACTCTGAACACTGTTGACCCACTGATCGTTTCCCCACGAGGTGTCAGCCAACTGCTTGACCATAAGATGTTTTGCAGACCTTTTAGAACCAATTCCCAGGTACCGACCTCCTTCATAACCAACTTCGTTTATTTGTTTAAACATGAAGGAGGAATATTGTTAAACTTGAGAGGGTGCAGAAAAGATTGAGAAGGATGTTGCTGGGGTTGGAGGGTTTAAACTATAGGGAGAGGCTGAATAGGCTGGGGCTATTTTCCCTGGAGCATTGGAGGCTGAGGGGTGACCTTCTAGAAGTTTATAAAATCATGAGGGGCATGGATAGGATGAATAGCCAAGGTCTTTTCCCCCAGAATAGGGGAGTCCAAAACTAGAGGGGCATAGGTTTAAGGTGAGAGGGGGAAGATTTAAAAGGGACCTGAGGGGCAACCTTTCCACGCAGAGTGTGGTGCATGTATGGAACGAGCTGCCAGAGGAGGTGGTGGAAGCTGATACAGTTGCAACATTTAAAATGTATTTGAATGGGTACATGAATAGGAAAGATTTGGAGGGATATGGGCTAAATGCTGGCAAATGGGATTGTTTGATTTAGGATATCTGGGTTGGCACGGACGAGTTGGACCAAAAGCTCTGTTTCCGTGCTGTACATCTCTTATGTCTCTATGACCTATGTGCGTGTGGGTGAGGTATGGTGTCCGCAGAGTAATGGACAGCTCCAGCCCCACCCCACGCAAGACAGTGGCACATTTTCTAGACAAGGAGGCAGTAAGGGCAGTTCAACCAGGGACTCAGAGTTCATCCTCTCTTTCTTTCAGATTGCAGATCATGAGAAAATGTACTTCAAAAAGCCGTCCGAGATCTGCCGCAAATACCTGGAGCACATCGCACAGGTCAGTGTCGCTTCCAGAAGGACTAATGTGGAGAGAAACTCTTACTGTTGTTGAAGCTACACATCTCGGAACACTGGGCAATTTAGCATGGCCAATCCACCTAACCTGCACATCTTTGGACTGTGAGAGGAAACCAGAGCATCTGGAGGAAACCCACACAGACACAGGGAGAACGTGCAAACTCCACACAGACAGTCGCCCAAGGCTTTTGCGAGAACCGGTTAGAGACAGGGACAGCAGGAGTGATGGTGAATTTAAACGGATGTGTCTGATTTCTGTAATCAAATCCTTATTGTATGAGAAGAGGGAGAGTTTTCCCGAAACAAATGGAGCTGGATTTTGGAAGGACTGTGAGCAAATTGCAGGTCTACCTGCATAATATCTATCATAGAGATGATGGTTGAGGTTAATCTGACGATGGGGCGATGGCCTAGTGTTATTATTGGCAGACTGTTAATCCAGAGACCCACTTAATGTTCTGGGGACCTGCGTTCGAATCCCACCGCAGCAGATGGTAGAATTTGCAGTCAATAACTATCTGGAATTAGGAATCTAATGATGATCATGAATCCATCATCGATTGTCGGGAAAAAAACCCATCTGGCTCACTAATGTCCCTTAGGGAAGGAATCTGCCATCCTTACCTGGTCTGGCCTACATGTCACTCCAGACCCACAGCAACGTGGTTGACTCTTAACTGCCCCCTGGGCAATTAGGGATGGGCAATAAATGCAGCCTGGCCAGCGACACCCTCATCCTGTGAATGAGTAAAGGATCAGCATGGTTTTGTGAAAGGAAGTTCATGTCTCACCAATTGATTTTAGTACTTTAGTACGAGTGGCACCGTGGCTCAGTGGTTAGCATTGCTGCCTCACAGTGTTAGGGACCCAGATTCGATTGACGGCGTGGAGTTTTCCTAGTCTTCCCCCCGCCCATCTGCGTGCATTCCCATTGTGCTCCGGTTTCCTCCCACAGTCCAAAAGATGTGCGTGCGCAGGTTAGTGTGGGTTAGCCATGGGAAATGCAGGGTTACAGGATTAGGATAGGGGTGTGGCACTGGATGGGATGCTGTTCGGAGGGTTAGTGTGGACTTGATGGGCTGACTGGCCTGCTTCCACACTGTAGTAATTCTATGATGATACTTTGTGGAAGGACCATGTTCTGGAGTACCCTGTTTGGGTTGAGAAAAGTCATGTGATGAGGTGCTCCATCAAAGGTTATGGTGCAAATGAACAATTCATGGTGTACACGGTAACATTTTTTAATGTATTGTTTATTTTTTAAAATTTATTCACGGGTTGTGAGCTTTGCTGACTCAGGTAGCTTTTATCACCCCGTCCTGAATAGCACCTTGAGAAGTTGGCAGTGAGATGCCTTCTTGTCTTGCTACAGTCCACAAACTGTAGGTTGACCCACGATGCTGTGGGAGAGTGACCCAGCAACAGCGAAGCTGCAGTAATATATTTCCAAGTCAGGATGGGGAGTGGTCAAAGAGGAACTTTGCAGAGGATGGTGTTCCCATGTGTCTGCTGCCCCATGTCCTTCTAGAAGACGTGGGTTTTGGAAGGTGCTGTCTGAGGAGCCTCTGTGAGTTTCTGCAGCGCAGCTTGTAGATGGTACACACACTGCTGCGACTGAGTGTCGGTGGTAGAGCGAGTGGATGTTTGAGGATGTGGTGCCAATCGAGCGGGGGCTGCTTTGTCCAGGATGATGTTAAGCTTCTTGTTGTTGGGGCTGCACCCATCCAGGCAAGTGGAGAATATTCCGTCACACTGCTGCGTGTGTGCCTTGTAGATGGTGAACAGGCTTTGAGGAGTCAGGAGGTGAGTTACTCACCACAGTATTCCTACCTTCTGATCTGCTCTTGTAGCCACTGTGTTTATGTGGTGAGTCCAGTTGAGTTTCTGGTCAATGATAACCCCAGGATGTTGATAATCGGGGATTCAGTGGTGGTAACACAGTTGAATGCCAAGGGGTGGTGGTTAGATCGCCTCTTATTTGTGATGGTCACAGCCTGGCATTTGTGTGACACAAATGTTACTTGCCACTTGTCAGCCTAAGCCTGGATATTGTCCAGATCTTGTTGCATTTGAACATGGACTGCTTCAGTATCTGAGGAGTCGCAAATGGTGCTGAACATGGTGCAATCATAGTGACCATCCCCATTCCTGACCTTATGATGGAGGGAAGGTTATTGATGAAGTAGCTGAAGATGGTTGGGCCTAGGACATTACCCTGAGGAACTCCTGCAGAGATGTCCTGGAGCTGAGATGATTAACCTCCAACAACCATGACCATCATCCCATGTGTCAGGTATGACTTCAACCACAGGAGAGTTTCCTCCCTGATATACATTGATACCAGTTTTTTTATGGCTCCTTGATGCCAGTTGAATGCAGCTTTGATGTCAAGGGCTGTCACTTTCACCTCTCCTCTGGAATTCACCTCTTTTGTCCATGTTTGAACCAAGGCTATAATGAGGTCAGGAGCTGAGTGGCCCTGGCGGAACCCAAACTGGGCATCACTGAGCAGGTGCTGCTTGATAGCTCTGTTGATGACACCTTCCATCACTTTACTGATGATCGAGAGGAGACTGATGGGGTGGTAATTGGCCGGGTTGGATTTGTCCTTTTTTATAATGTACAGGACATACTTGGGCAATTTTCCACATTGTCAGGTAGATACCAGTGTTGTAACTGTACTGGAACAGCTTGGCTAGGGGAGCGGCAAGTTCTGGAGCACAAATCTTCAGTACTATTGCCGAAATGTTGTCAGGCCCCGTAGCCTTTGCAGTATCCAGTGTCTCCAACTGCTTCTTGATATCATGTGGTGTGAATCAAATTGGCTGAAGACTGGTATCTGTAATGCTAGGGACCACTGGAGAAGGCCGAGATGGATCGTGCACTCAGCACTTCTGGCTACGAAAGCTTCAGCCTTATCTTTTGCACTGATGTGCTGGGCTCTTCCATCATTGAGGAAGGGGATATTTGTGGAGCCTTCTCCTCCAGTGAGTTGTTTAATTGTCCACCACCATTCACGACTGGATGTGGCAGGACAGCAAAGCTTAGATCTGATCCGTTGGTTATGGGATCGCTCAGCTCTTTCTATCACTTGCTGCTTTCGCTGTTTGGTATGCAAGTAGTCCTGTTCGATGGCTTCATCAGGCTGACACCTCGTCTTCAGGAATGCCTGGTGCTGCTCCTGTCATCCCCTCCTGCACTCTCCATTTGACCAGGGGTGATCCTTTAGCTTGATAGTAATGGTTGAATGGGGGATGCCCAGTCTTAAGTTGTTAGATCTGCGTGAAGCCTGTCGAGCTTCTCAAGTGTTGTTGGGGCTGCACCCATCCAGGCAAGTGGGGAGTATTCATCACACTCCTGACTCGTGCCTTGTCGGTGCTGGGAATGGGCTCTGGGGGGAGTCAGGAGGTGAGTGACTTGCTGCAGGATTCCCAGCCTCTGACCTGCTCTTGTAGCCATGACTGGACTAGTATCCCCCAAAATGATGATTTCGGCAGGAATAGAAAATTGTCTGTGGTTGACGAGTTGTAACGAGTAGTGTGCCACAGGGATCCATGTCGGTGCCTCAACATTTGACAGTTGACACAAATGATTTGAATGAAAGGTTTATTTGCGCAGTTTTCTGATGACACAAAGATGGCTGTGAAAGTAAGTTGTGAGGAGGATGTAAGGGAGTGTAAAGGGATTTGGCGGGTTACATGATTGGACAATGATCTGCTTGCGTGGATTATGGTGTAGGAAAATGTGAAATCGTTCTTTTTCGTAGCAAAGTAACACAAAGAAACATCTGATCTAAATGGTGAAAGAGCGCAGAGCTTTGAGAGCAGAGAGATCTGGATGTCCTGCTGCGTTGAATCACAAACGGGTAGTATGTGGGTGCCATAAATAGTTAGAAAAGCTGATAGATTCTCACTGTTTAGTCGTCATCGGCAGTCCATCACAGATGAGGATGTGACTCTCTTCCACTCTCAGAGTGAGTCCGTAGGTGGCTGTACAGACCAGTTTGGCTACCGCAGGCTCTGAATTGCGGCAGAAAGTGGTGGCAGGAAGGGATGGGTGGGGCACCGTGGTGGCAGCGCGCTCCTTTCGCTGTTTTCCCCTGGCCTCTGCTTTCACCTCACGGCGAATCTCGAGGTGCTCGACGCCTTCCCGGATGCTGCTCCTCCACGTTGGACCATCTTGGGCCAGGGATTCCCGGGTGTTGTTGGGAATGCCGCACTGGGAACAGAATGTAAGAGGAGCTAGGTCATGCTTAAGTTATTCAGGGCACCTGCAAGACCACAAATCTTCTGGCCCGTTATGTGTCGGTTGCCTTATTTACAGAAGGTTATGAAAGTTTTGGGGTCTGTTCAGAGAAAGTTTACCAACTGTTTTATTGGGAAAGGCTGGGCTCATGTCTGCTGGAGTTTAGAAGAGTAAGAGGCGACTGGATTGAAACACAAGATCCTGAGGGATCTTGACAGTGTCGCACATTGAAGGCTGTATCCACCTGTGGGAGAATTTAGAACCAGGTCACTGTTTAAAAATCAGGCTTCACCCTTTAAAATGGAAACGAGATGAAACTTTTCGCACAGAGGGTGGTGGGTCTGTGGAACGATCTTCCTCAAAAGGCAGTGGAAGCGAAGGCCTTCAGTGTCCCTGGGTCAAAATCCTGGAATTCCCTCCCTAGTGGGGTCTGCCTACAGCACGTGGACTGCAGCAGTTTCAAGAAGGCAGCTCACTCCCACCTTCTCAAGGAGGGCAATTAGCGACGGGGCAATAAATGCTGGACCCGGTCAGCGACCCCCACATCCCTCGAGTGACTAAAAAAATGTCCCCGAATATTTTTAAGGCACGACTGAAAGGTTGTCGGGGGTAGGCAGGAATGTGAAATAGTCAGATCAGCCATGATCTTATTGAATGGTGGCGCAGGCTCAAGGGGTTGAATGGCCTACTCCTGTTTCGGTTTTGTACATCCAGTGGCAACAGCTCTTCTGTCCTCAGTCAGAGCATTGAGTATAGGAGTTGGGACGTCTTATTGCAGCCGTACAAGATGTTGATGAGGCCACATTTGGAGTACTGCATGCAGTTCTGGTTATCTTACTAAAGAAAGAACATTATGAAACTAGAAAGAGTGCATAAAAGATTTACTGGCTTGCTACCTAGACTGGAAGGTTTGAGTTATTAAGGAGAGGTTGGGTAGACTGGGACTTTTCTTCCCTGGGGCGTTGGAGACTGAGGGGTAACTTCATAGAGGTTTATAAAATTATGAGAGGCATCGATAAGGAAGATAGCTGACAGCTTTTCCCCCATTGTAGGAAAGTCTAAAACTAGAGGGCATAGGTTTAAGGTGAGAGGGGAAAGATACAAAAGGGGCAGTTGTTTCCTACAGAGGGTGGTGAGTGTCTGGAATGGGCTGCCAGAGGTATTGGTGGAAGTGAGTACAGTTTTGTAATTTAAGAAACATTTGGTCAGGGACATGGATGGGATAGGTATGGAGGGACATGGACCAAATGCAGATAAATGGGACTAGTCTAAATTGTGAAAACTGGGCGGCATGGACAAGTTGGGCCAAAGGGCCTGTTTCCATGTGGTAAGTCTCTATGAATGAGTAGGCTGGTCTTGCTGTGAAAACATTGAACCCAGCATGGGTCTGGAAAGTTGTAAAGTGGTCACTGTGGGAAGTTCCTGAAACCTCCGACGACTTTTCTTGGTGCAGTGACGGAGGAGGAGAATGTTGAGACACAGAGTTGGAGTGCACCAGGGAGCTGGTGGGCAGCCCTCCGACTCATGGGGCGAGGCGTTGCTCTGTGGCAGTCAGCTCATGGCTGGAGAGAACGCCCGCTCTGGCAGGGCAGCCTCTGCCATACCCTTCTGCAGAGAGTAAGGAAGTTCAGGAAGGGACCAGCCTCCATCTGCCTTCTTCCTCAGTAGCTGAGCTTGCCACAACTCTTTGGCTGTCCCTGTGGCCTGATCACTTGGCCTTTTGGGGAAGGAGGGAGGGGGCGTCAATCCTGTGGGCTGCACTGGAAAGTGGTCATCCAACCTTTGGTCTCCCCAGTGTAGGAAAGGTCTATATCTAAATTAATCTAGTCCCATTTGCCAGCACTTGGCCTGTATCCCTCTAAACCCTTCCTATCTATGTACCCATCCAGATGCCTTTTAAATGTTGTAATTGTACCAGCGTCTACCACCTCCTCTGGCAGCTCATTCCATACACGCACCATCCACTGTGTGAAAAAGTTGCCCCACACATCTGTTTTATATCTTTGCTGGTTATGGTGCTATGAAGCTGTTGAATCCACATTCGGAAACACCTCCCTTGCCACGAGGTTTCCGAGGGTTACCCTGATCAGCTGCAACCACTGTTTAATGTGCTATGGCAATTTAAAGGGGCCGCTCTGGACTATGAGTACACAGCAGCTGTTACAGCCTCAGAGCTGGTGACCCCCAATGCTTCTGCTGGTGATAACCGCGCCCCCCCGCTCCTCCCTGACACCAGGGACCCCAGATTATCTGCCCCTGGGGACAGTGCTGTGCATATGATCTTGGATGTAAGCTATCTACTCTCTGACGCGTCTCGTTGCTCCTTCGTAGGTGACAAGGTTCCAGAGGAAGCAGACTGAGCTACTCCTTTCCTTCTACAAGCACAAGATTTCTAAAATGGAGGCTGCCCTGCAGGAGGCGCAGTGCAAAATAAGATTGCAAGAGAAGTAAGTGTGAGCATCTCCATCAGCCAGATTTAACACACCTCCACATTCAATTCTTGTGCAGCACATCATGTCAATATTGCTGATAAGAGGGGCATGTTTTCCAAAAGTTTTCACCCTGCAGTGAGTGACACATTTGCTCGTGGGGACCGGTCTTCCACAAACAAAAGGAATCTGTTCCTTGGATGATCTGGGAGCTTGGGGAGCCATCCGCTCCCTGTTGGTTACTCCGTAGCGATGTGTCGGCCAATCAGAGTGGGTTTTTCCAACCAATCAGCGCCCTTTTCTCCTGTCATGTGGATTGTTGTAACTGTTTGAAAATTGACATTCTTGTGTTTTTGCTCCACTAAAGGCCAAATGAAAACCTTCCACAACAGGTCTCTCTCCTCCCCAGTGTATGATCCCTGTGATTCAATGCTCTCGCTTGTTTGAATATTCCTCCAATTTAATGCTTCCCCTGCTAGCTTTTATCAGTATTCCTGCGGAGACGAACAACCACATAGCCTGTGTTTTAGCAATGCTGGTTGTGTAATGAATTTTTGGCTGCTGGACGCTGGGCTGACATTTATCAACTGGTACCTGTGGACTGTATTCCCTCGCGAGGAGCGCATCGTCGTGCAGAAATCTGTAGCGTGCACACACCCAGCCACAAGAACATAGACAGCAGGACTAAATCATTTGGCCTGTCAAGCTTGCTCTGCCTCTCGGTACGATCCTGGCTGATCTTGGCGTCTCGGCTCCAGTTTCCCACCCTCTGCCCACATCCCTCGGTTACCCAAGAGGCCAGAGATCTTTTGATCCCGGCCTCCAAAGTACTCGACGATGGAGCGTGCACAACCCCCAGGGGGAGAGAATTGCAACCAGTCTAAATCGTCTGAGGGAAGGGAGGCCCCTTATCCTTGAGACAGTGAGCCTCCACAACCAGGGAACTCTCTCTCTCTGTGCCCTACCCTGGTCAGACCCTTCAGAGTCTCGAATATCTCCGTGAGGTCACCTCACATGGTGATCAACTCCATTTGATCTATTGTTGTCACATGTACCTCCGTACAGTGAAAAGGTTTGTTTCGCTTGCAGTACAGGCAGATCATAACTTACAAGGACATACAGATCATTGTGTGATTGAACAGAGCGAGGCATACAAAAGAGTGAGGCTGCACAGGAAGTGTACAAAAGCAAGATCAACATCAGATTTGAAATTTGAGAGGTCCATTCAGAAGTCTAATAACAGAAGTACGTGCGTTTAAGCTTTTGTACCTTCGGCCTGATGGAAGAGGTTGGAAGAGATTATGACCGGGGTGGGAGGGGTCTTTTATGATGTTGGCTGCCTTTCTGAGACAGAGAGAAGTGTAGATGGAGTCCATGGATAGGAGGTTGGCTTGTCTGATGGATTGGGCTGTGTTCACAACTTTCTGCAGTCCTAGGCAAAGCAGTTGCCGTACCGAACTGTGACAGGATGCTCTCTGTGGTGCATCTGTAAAAGTTGGTGAGGGTCCTCATGGACGCAGCCTTCTGAGGAACTAGAGGCATTATTGTGCCCTCTTCACCGTTGTGCCTACGTGGGTAGTCCAGGACAGATTGTTGGTTAGCCTGGGCGACATCAGCCCCTTTATCAAACCTGGGGGAACATTGGCTGTGGTGTCTCCCCAACCTGAGAAGGCAAGTTGGGGGTCGGGGGTGGGGGGGGTGTGCAGGAACAGCTGGACCAGGCAGACGGTGACCCGCTGGCACGCAGACTGTTCTTCCACCTGCAGGGAGCCCTTGGGGAATCGGGCCTTGTCCCCACGGCGACGTGGTCAGGGGAATCGTGATGTCAAGCTTCTCCTCCCAGTGAGTCTGCACCCGAGCAGTGGGGCAGCATGGCACAGTGTGGGCCACACGCGCACCTTAAGGGGCCTCATTGAGGCTCCGTACAAGAAGAGGAGACGTCAGGCACTTGTTGTCTAGCAGCGGCGGAGGGGTGCATGACTTCAGTCTCCCAAGGGATGGGTTCACTCCCACCCAGCCCCCAATCCCACAGTGTCATGACTGTACTGCGACCTGAAGGCAGCCCTCCTCGAACGATAAGTGTGGCATGGTGGCTCAGTGGTTAGCACTGCTGCTTCTTGGGACCTGGGTTCAATTCCACCCTTGGGCGACTACCTGTGCGGAGTTTGAACATTCTCCCCCCATGTCTGTGTGGGTTTCCTCCGGGTGCTCTGGCTTCCTCCCACAGTCCAAAGACGTGCGGTTTAAGGTGGATTGGCCATGCTAAACTGTCCATGGTGTCCAGTGCAGGCTTAGGTGGGTTAGCCATGGGAAATGCAGGGATAAGGGTAAGGGCATAGGTCTGGGTGGGATGTTCTTCGGAGGGTTGGTGTGGACCCGATGGGCCGAATGGCCTAACTCCACATTGTAGGGATTCGAAGGCAGCATGGATGTGGTAGGAGCACTACCACCACCTGCAAGCTCCCTGCCATATCACACTCTATTGGGGCGTTCCTTCACCCTCTCGGGTAAGGAAGCCTGGAGACTCCCCCTCAGCCTAAAACCTGCCGCACTCTGGGTGTACGCTAGCCACAGTGGTTCAACAAGGCGGCTTGCACCCACATTCTCGATAGAAACTAAGGATGGACGGCAAATGCCAGCCTGCGATTGGAGCTGGCCAAAACAAGTCCAGATTCCCGTGAAAGTATAATGGAGAATGAACAGGAAGAGGGTTTTAACTTTTTTCTGTTTTCCCCCCACCTCCCCCACAACAGGGAGACGGCAGCGCTGAAGGGCCAAGTGGACAACATGAAAAAGCTGCTGTCTGTGGCAAAGGTGAGACCCCTCACCTGACTGAGGCGTCTGATCGGAGGCTGGGGGGAGCAACCGTCCCTGTGCTGATGATTACCCAATGTTAACTCCCTCGCCTTGACAACGTCCACCTTCCCAGCCTAGCCTTTCCTTCCCCCTCACCCCCCCCCCCCCCCCCCCCCCCCCCCTCGCCCTCCCCGCCCCCTCTCCTCTCCCTCGCCCTCGCCGTCCCCCCTGCTCTCCCTCGCCCTCGCCGTCCCCTCTGCTCTCTGCTCGCCCTTGCCGTCCCCTCTGCTCTCCCTCGCCCTCCCCTGTGCTCTCCCTCGCCCTCACCGTCCCCTCTGCTCTCCCTCGCCGTCCCCTCTGCTCTCTCTCCGTCACTCGCCGTCCCCTCTGCTCTCTCTCCGTCACTCGCCGTCCCCTCTTTGCTCTTGCACTATTGCTGCCCTCTAAGCTTGCTTCCTTCCATTGTCACTTTGTCTGTGTCTTACCTTCTGATTCTCACTTGTCTTCTGCTTTCCCCTGTTCATTTGGTTAGCTATTTTTGGTCACTTGCAGTATTCATCATTTTAAATGAGTGTTTGTTTCTGTTTTCTGCAGATACCACCTCATGACCTCCAGCTTCGAAGGTCAGTATTTTGTATTTCAGCTCCAAGTGTTTCAGTATGAGCCGATTTTAGATGCTCATTCTTCCTCCAGCATTGTTGGGGGTTCTGTCCTCCCTTTTGCTGCTCTGTGTTGAAGCAAGTGAACCCGCCACTAACCTTTCCCTCTTTCTTTTCTCTGTGACGGGGAGGAGCGTTAACATTGGAACAAGCATTTACTGGTCAGACATTGACTTTCTCTCTCTGTCTCTCTCTCTCTCTCTCTCTGTCTCTGTCTGTGTCTCTCTCTCTGTCTGTCTGTCTGTCTCTCTCTCTCTCTCTCTCAAACTCTCTCACTCTCTCACTGTCTCTCTCTTTTTCTCTTAGTCACATCCCAGTCGTCACCACCCCTGAACTAACCAGTACCTATTGTCGTTGACTTACAGTAAAGCAATGGCCACAGTTTTAAAATTCTGACCTTTGTTTTCAAATCCCTCCTGGTCCTCAATTCTTCTGCTCCCTGTAATCTCCTCCATCCCTTCAACCCTCTGAGATTTCTGTAATCTCTTCCACTTCTGGCTTTGCACGTCTTCGGCTTAATCCCAAATTTGTTACGGTGCAGAAGGTAACCTCTTGCTGTCTGAATGAGTGTGTCACTAAGTCTCGTTCTCTCTCTTTCTGTCAGTAACCATGCACCTTGATCCTCTTCAAAGAAACAGTCTAAACAACCTTTCAGTGCCTTGATTGAACCTGCTTTCGTCCACATTCTCTGACCCTGTGTTCCAGAACTACTCACTGCATGTCAAAGATTCTCCATCTGTCACTTCTGCTTCTTCAACCAGTGGTTATTACTGATTGGTGTCCTCGCATTCTTAATCCTCTCTCAAGTGGGAAGAGTTTCTCCACTTCACTGGAACCATTTAGGATGCCTCGGGTAACAGTAAAGTTGCCATAGCAGCATAGGGCTACTTTCTCGTCAGACAGTCACAACTGGTCGTGGTTTAACCTGAGGGTTACCATGCCTCAGGTGAGAGGACAGGTTAAGAAGTTTAAGAGTCCTTCATGGTAACCTCAAACCGTGCTGGAGCTGAGCCCACGCTGTTGGCATCGCAAACCATCCATCCAGCTTATGACAGTTCCAACCCCACTTCCATCCTTCCGTAGACTCAGCAATTCTTCCTCTTGGTATTAGTTTGAGTCACTGATGTCAAGTGGTGACAGATATCTACACAGAGTTTTCTGCAGAATTTGGAGCAATCATGATCAACAGAATAGGTTTATGACATTGTACTTAAGAGCTACTTAAATTCAGTCTGCACTACATGACCCTTGTGAGATTGTGAGGCTCGATATAAGAGTAAATTCATATCTCTGTTAGCTCCCACTGCTTGTTAAGCTAGGTCAGCTGGAACACTGAGATACACACTGTACCGGTTAGACACACACTGGTTAGCTCCTCTCGGGATCACAAGGTGTAGAGCTGGATGAACACAGCAGGCCAAGCTCAGAGGAGCAGGAAAGCTGACGTTTCGGGCCTAGACCCTTCTTCAGAAATGGGGGAGGGGAAGGGGGTTCTGAAATAAATAGGGAGAGAGGGGGAGGTGGATAGAAGATGTATAGAGGAGAAGATAGGTGGAGAGGAGACAGACAGGTCAAAGAGGCAGGGATGGAGCCAGAAAAGGTGAGTGTAGGTGGGGAGTTAGGGAGGGGATAGGTCAGTCCAGGGAGGACGGACAGGTCAAGGGGGCGGGATGAGGCTAATAGGTAGGAGATGGGGGTGCGGCTTGAGGTGGGAGGAGGGGATAGGTGGGAGGAAGGGCAGGTTAGGGAGGCGGGGACGAGCTGGGCTGGTTTTGGGATGCAGTAGGGGGAGGGGAGATTTTGAAGCTTGTGAAGTCCACATTGATACCATTGGGCTGCAGGGTTCCCAAGCGGAATATGAGGTGCTGTTCATGCAACCTTCGGGTGGCATCGTTGTGGCACTACAGGAGGCCCAGGATGGACATGTCGTCTGTGGAATGGGAGGGGAGTTGAAATGGTTCGCGACTGGGAGGTGCAGTTGGTGAGTGCGAACCGAGCGTAGGTGTTCCACAAAGCAGTCCCCAAGCCTCCACTTGGTTTCCCCGATGTAGAGGAGGCCACAACGGGAACAACAGATACAGTATACCACATTAGCAGATGTGCAGGTGATCCTCTCGGGATCAGTCCTTTGTGTGCTGGTGATTGGAATTTATCTTGTAGTGCCTTTGCGGGTGGCACAACGGCTCAGTAGATAGTGCTGCTGCCTCACAGCGCCAGAGACCCAGGTTCGATTCCAGCCTTGGATGACTGCCTGTTTGTGTGGAGTTTGCACATTCTCTCCCCGTGTCTGCGTGGGTTTCCTCCGGGCGCTCCGGTTTCCTCCCACAGTCTAAAGATGTGCAGGTTAGGGTGGATTGGCTGTGCTAAATTGCCCCATAGTGTCCAGGGATGTGCAGACTCGGTAGGCTAGCCATGGGAAATGCAGGGTTACAGGAATAGGGTAGGGGGGTGTGGATCTGGGTGGGATGCACTTTGGAGGGTTGGTGTGGACTTGATGGGCCAAATGGCCTGCTTTCACACTGTAGGGATTCTATGATTCTATGAAGTGTAAGCTAACCCTTTCAGCTATGAACTGTATCGCACAACAATGTGGACTCAAACATCTCCAATGGCTTCACCAATGACCGTCCCTCCAAAACACGGTGCTACATTTTCCCTGCAGTGTCCGAGGCTGAGAGGTGACTTTATAGAGGTTTATAAAATCATGAGGGGCATGGATTGGGTGAATAGTCAAAGTCTTTCTCTCCAGGGTAGAAGAATCCAAAACTAGAGGGTATAGGTTTAAGGTGAGAGGGGAAAGATTTAAAAGGGACCTGAGGGGCAACTTTTTCACAAGAGGGTGGTGTGTATATGGAATGAGCTGCCAGAGGAAGTGCTAGAGGCTGGTACAATTATAACATTTGAAAGGCATCTGTATAGATATATGAATAGGAAAGGTATAGACGGATCTGAGCCAAATGCTGGTAAATTGACTAGATTAGTTTGGGATGTCTGGTCGGCATGGATGAGTTGGACTGAAGGGTCAGTTTCCATGCTGTACAGCTCTATGACTCTATAGGTGTGTGGGGATACAACTGCAAAATATGGCACATGCTGGAAACCAGAAAGGAAAGCAGAAAGCTCTGGAAACACTGGGCAGGTCACACAGCCTAGAAGGACAGAATTAATGTTTTGGTCTGTGACTCTTTTGTCAGATCATGAGGATGGAAGTTTAAAGACTGATCGAATTAAAGTGTTTAAAGTTCTTAAAGGATTTGACTGTCTGGTTAGAAAGTATGTGTGAGGTGAGTCTGAAACAAGTGGGCATAACCTTAAAATCAGAATGACACTGTTCAGGGGCTGTGGCCTCCTCCTGTTCGTGCGTAACAGTCTCGCGGGGAGGGTTGAATGGCCTCCTCTTGTTCCTCCATAACATTATCAGAGTCTTCACAGGAGTAGGCAGAGCACGCTAATTATGGCATGCCCCAGAACATATTGCATATTAATTATTTCTCTTCCTTTATCCCCCAGGTCCAATAACACTCGACCAATTGCCATCACTTCTCCCTCAAGCAGAGGTAAGTGTGACCTGCCTCTGAGCTGGAGTTGTTTTGTCACAATAAAAACCGAAAGAACTGCGGATGCTGTAAATCAGGAACAAAAATAAAGTTGCTGGAAAAGCTCAGCAGGTCTGGCAGCATTTGTGAAGGAAAAAACAGAGTTAATGTTTCGGGTCCAGTGGCCCTTCCTGTTTATTCCTTCACAAATGCTGCCAGACCTGCTGAGCTTTTCCAGCAGCTTCTGTTTTTGTTTTGTCACAAGTCTCTCTGATCTACACACTGTTTTCTTTCTTTCTTGGCCACTGGCGTATGTGAGGCAGAGACTCAGGCCCACAGTTTTGAGTAAACAGAATAAAAAACAAACAGTGCATGGTTTGTTTCTGCCCATAAGACCAAAAGAAAGATCAGTTGTGATCTTACTGAATGATGGAACAGGCTTTAAGGGATGAGTGGCCGCCTCTTGTTCATATGTTCATTGATGAAGCAGTTGAAGATGGTTGTGGCTAGGACACTACCCTGAGGAGCTCCTGCAGAGATGTCCTGGAACTGAGATGACTGACCTCCAACAACAATCATCTTCCTATGTGCCAGGTATGACTCCAACCGGTGGAAAATGTGCCCCCTGATACCCACTGATTCCAGCTTTGCTAGGGCTCCTCGATGCCACACTAAGTCAAATGCAGCCTTGATGTCAAGGGCTGTCACTCTCACTTCACCTTTGGAATTCAGCTCTTTTGTCAACGTTTGAGCCAAGGCTGTAAAAATGAGGTCAGGAGCTGAGTGGCCCTGGCGGACCCCAAACCGGGCATTACTGAGCAGGTTATTGCTGAGCAGGTGCTGCTTGGTAGCACTGTTACTGACACCTTTCATCACTTTACTGATGATCGAGAGTAGGCTGACGAAGCGGTAATTGGCCTGGTTGGATTTGTCCTTTTTGTGTACAGGGCATAACTGGGTGATTTTCAACGTTGACGGCTGGACGTCAGTGTTGCAGCTGGAGCAGGGAGCGTGACATTCATCAGTTTCTGGGAAGGTTTTCCTGAGTAACAGGTTAAAGGAGGCTGTATAGTCTACCCTAGTTCCCATGCAGGAAGTTCAAGGACTGAATGGCCTCCTCTGTTCTATTGTAACAGTGTTGAGTTTATGTGTGGACTCCTGTTCCTGTGGAGCAGATGTGAGATACTGAATAACACCCTCTTGTCCGTGTGTAACAGGCTTGAGGGGCTGAATGGTCTCCTCCTGTCCCCATGTAACAGGCTCGAGGAAGAGCCTATTGGCCGCCTCGTTTTCCCACGTAACAAGTTCAAGGGGTCTGCATGGTTCACTCTGGTTCCTATGTATTAGATGGAGAGGGGCTGAATAGACTTCTGCTTGTGTGCAGCAGGTCTGAGGGGCTGACTGGCCTCCTCTTCTTCCTGCATACAGACTCAAGGGGCTGAGTGGCCTCCTCATGTTCCTCTGTAACCAGCTTGTCCTGTCTGGATGAACCAGAAGGAACAGCAGGAGGTTCCTGCAGGAGGAACAGCAGAAACTTCATCCCTGACCTGTGATATGGTAACCCTCAGGTTAAACCACCATCAGTCATCTCTCGCTAATGAGAGAGCACCCTCTGAGACTATGGTGACATATATGCTAATATATGAGCAAAATATAGCATCTAATATGAGGAAAAGGGAGAAGACTATTTATGCCCTTTCAATTGTTCAGTGTTATAAGAGGCCGCAGTTATCTACCACTTCCAGTTCTGACAATTAATCTCCTTGCCCTTTGTCTCGCTGTGTTACTGCGGTGGAGATAGGCAGTCTGGTCAGTCAATCATAAGCAGGGCCTTCAATGGGAACGGGTATAGAGCTGTGATGGATGCCTCTGACGTCTGGTGGCATGCCACGTTATCTCTGCCCAGCGTTAGGCTGAGAATTGGATTGACGTGATGATCGGAGGATTTGGGATCATGGTACTGCTGTCCTGTAGGGTTGCTGGAATTGGATGACCGGGCTATCTACAACACGTTCAGCTCATTGTTGCGAGCGGTAACAGGTAATCTGTTGTCTTCTTGTGTCCTTGCAGTCACACCGAAACAGACACCTCAGAGTATTGGGTCGTACAGCGGAAACACTGCCTCCAGCAGGTAGGTGCTGTAACAATCAGGCTGAGCACTGACTGGGCGTGGTGCGGGAACCAGGGACAGTCTCTTGCCGTTTGCGGTATGGTCACGGTGATAACACAGGAAATGCCACAGCCAGTGCACACATAGCATGATCCCACGAGTCCCGGCACCCAACCAGCATTCCTTTATCGCACCTCGTAAAGGTACTGAACAGTTGGGATTTCCAAACTCAATTTGACACCAAGCTGCAGAACAGATTCTCAGGACAGAAAGCCAGCAGCTTTCACAGTGGAAGGGGAGAAGAGAGAAAGATAGAGAGCTTTAGGGAGGGCATTCCAGAGCGAAGGGAACCCAGACAGTCAAAGGCACAGCCGCCACTGGTAGAGCAATGAAAACCAGAAGACTCTAGAGATGCCAGAATTGGAGGAGCACAGAGATCATGGAGGCTGATGGGTTGGAGGATAATCAAGGGGGTGGACAAACTGTCGAAGGAATTGAAAACAAGAGTGCGACCGTGATAAATGACGAGCTGATCTGTTTTAGCAATGCTGGTTGTGAGGTAGATAATTGCCCAGGACACCAGGGAGAACTGTTTTGAATCTTTGATCAGGGGCTGGTGACCTTTCCGCCTACCTGGTAGAGCAAACAGGGCTCGGGTTTACAATCACATCTGAGAGATGGCTCCTCCAACTGCACAGATAATTACTGAACTTAGACTCTCGTCCACAATAACTTCCGTCTCCCGTGGATATCGGGCTAATGCAGTATGGTGGGGTGGTGCCGTGACATTGAAATCTGAACTGCTCCTTCTCTGTGTGGGACTGAGCACCAATTATAGCCTCCGCCACCCCATTTCTTGCACAGCGTGATGTGAAGTTTGCCCATACTGTCACAGGCAGTCCTGAAGTCATAGAGTTACACAGCATGGAAATAGATCCTTCGGCCCAGTTCCTACATGCCGACCAGATATCCTAAACTGATCTGGTCCCATTTGCCAGCATTTGGCCCATATCTCTCTAAACCCTTCCTATTCATATACTTATCCAGATGCCTTTTAAATGTTGTCATTGTACCAGCCTCCACCACTTCTGCTGGCAGTTCATTGCATACACCTCTGGGTGAAAAGGTTACCCCTTAGGTCCCTTTTAAATCTTTTCCCACTCACCTTAAACCTATGCCCCTCTAGTTTTGGACTCCCCTACCCTGGGGGAAAAGACCTTCACCCTATCCATGCCCCTCATGATTTTATAAACTTCTCAGTCTACGCCAGTCCAGGGCGGGAAAACCCCAACCTATTCAGCCTCTCCATATAGCTCAAAGCCTCCAACCCTGGCAACATCCTTGTGGGAGCAGCTGTTGTTGAAATTCCTCCCTCTACAAGGGCTGATGAATCCTCTGCTGTCAACATCCTGGGGGTTACCGTTGACCAGAAACTGAACTAGATCAGTGTGGACCATAATGTGGCTACAAGAACAGGTCACAGGCTGGGAACTCTGCAGCAAGTCACTCACTTCCTGTCTCCCCCCAGCCAAAGCCCTGTCCCACCATCAACAAGGCACAAGGCAGGAGTGTGATGGCATACTCCCCACTTTCCCTGGATGGAGGCAATTCCAACAACAATCGAGAAGCTCGACACCATTCAGGGACAAAGCAGCATCCCCCGCTCAATTGGTGCCACATCCACAAGCATTCACTTCACCGACGCTCAGTCGCAGCAGTGTGTACTAATTACAAGATGCCCTGCAGAAACTCACCGAGGCATCTTAGACACCACCTTCCAAACCCACGTCCCTCGACCATCTTGAAGGACAAGGGGTAGCAGATACATGGGAACACCAGCCCCCTTTAAGTTCCCCCTCCGAGCCACTCCCCATCCCGACTTGGAAATATATCTGCTGCTCCTTCAGCGTCGCTGAGTCAGAATCCCTGGAATTCCCTCCCTGAGGGACATTATGGGACTGCAGCGATTCAAGGGGGCAGCTAGGGAGGGACGGGCAATGAATGCTGGGCCCAGCCAGCGACGCCTACGTACCACAAAAAAAAACACAGCAAAGAATCCGTTTCAGTGGGAAAAGGGGTCTTCTTCACTTGGTGCACCTTTGCTGATGGCTGTCTGGGGCAGTCCTGGGAGGGACGTGTTCAAAGACAAGAACCACACATTATTGTTGGGGGTCTCTTGCCTTTTAGGGGCTTATGGTATCCGTGATTTTAGTCCTGCTCGGATCTTCTCGTCGTGTGAGGCAGACCTTGAGGTTGGAAATAGTTGAGCTTCCCCTCCTGGTAGCTGTACGTTGCCCATATTTCTCAGCCAGACACCAGGGTACTGAGGATGCAGACCCATTAACCACTACAAAAAGAGTTGCTGTAAAAACACAGCAGGTCTGGCAGCATCTGTAGAGAGAAAACAAAAAACAGTTGCTTTAACATTTAGAGTCCACCGACCCTTCGTCAGAACTGAAAATCATAGAACCCCTCCAGTGTGGAAGCAGGCCATTTGGCGCATCGAATCCACACTGGCCGTCTGAAGACCATCCCACCCGGGCACACCCCTCCACACCCTATCCCTGTATCCCCACATTCCCATGGTTAACACACCTAGCCCGCACGTCCCCAGGCACTATGGAGCAATTTCCCATGGCCATTCGACGCTAACCTGCACATCTTTGGACTGTGGGAGGAAACTGGAGCACCCGGAGGAAACCCACACAGACATAGGGAGAGAACGTGTAAACGCCACACAGTCACTGAGGGGGAATCGAAACTGGGTCCCTGGCGCTATGAGGCTTCAGTGCTAACCAATGATCCACTCTGCCGGCCATAACTGGGGAAGGGTAGTATTTACACTGATGGTGGGGAGGGGTGTAGTGAAATGAGTACCTGGAGATGGAGCCCAGAGAAAGAGAGAAAAGGGATAGGCAAACAAAGAGAGAGCTGATGGGAAGCCAAAAGAGAGGATCAATGCTAAGTAGGGTGTTAATGAGAAGGGTGAATAGTTGAAAGCAGGTTGGCTGCTTTGGGAGTAACCCATGCAGTGCAGGACCTGGAGGGTGTGTGTGTGTGTGTGTGTGTGTGTGTGTGTGTGTGAGCGCGCGTGGGTGTGTGCTTGTGATCCTGTGTCAAGATTCTTAAACTCAAAGTCGTGCCCCGATGGTTCTAAGGTACCACAGTGGACATTGAGGTGCTATTCCTCCAGCTGGTGTTGAGCCTCAATTGAACACCACGGCAGGGCCGAGACATAAATACTGACCAGGGGAACACGATGATGTGTTAAAGTGGCAGTCAGCTGGAAGCTTGGGGACACTTTTACAGATGGAGCATAAGGTGTTTGGCAAAGAGGTCACCCAATCTGCAGCAAATACTGTGGACTGGATTGAATGAGGGGCAGGTAAGTGGCTGCCCATGGCTAACCCACCTAGCCTGCGCATCCCTGGATGCTGTGGGCAATTTAGCATGGCCAGTCTACCCTATCCTGCACATCTTTGGACTGTGGGGGGAAACCAGGGCACCCAGAGGAAACCCAAGCAGACATGAGAGTGAACGTGCAAACTCCACACAGACCGTTGCCCGAGGGTGGAATCTGTGGGATCTTGCTCAATGGCGACCGAGATCAGTGAGCGGTGAAAATAACCTCTTTATTGAGCATCCACAGTGACACAGTTTGAGGCGGCGATACAATCCAGAGTACAGTTTTACAGTAGCCTCTTATATACAGTTTTTGCATACATTAAAATTTTAGCACGATGGTGTCACATAGTTGTATCTATTGTACTCAGGTTTGTGTGACATCTGTCCTGGGGAAGCAGGAGATAGTTTAAGCACTTCCTAAATGCTGGCTGTTACTCCTGATGGGATTAGAATATCTGTCCATTCTGACCTTCTGTAATTAAGAGGTGTTAGTCCTTTTGTCTTTAAAGTTAGGAGTGTTAGTTTATTTCAGAATCCCCTTCCCCTCCCCCATTTCTGAAGAAACGTCAGCTTTCCTGCTCCTCTGATGTTGCTTGGCCTGCTGTGTTCATCCAGCTCTACACCTTGTTGTCTCAGATTCTCCAGCATCGGCAGTTCCTACAACCTCAGAAATTCTCAGTATCCTGAATAAAAAGTACAGAGGATATTAAACTGATCTCCTGCAGCTGGGTCATGAGATTTCATCTACCATTGCTGGTGTTTGACAGTTCCTACGCATTCATTCATGCAGTTTCACGGAAGTGCTAGATATAACACAGTGTGGAGCTGGAGGAACACAGCAGGCCAGGCAGGAGTGCTGTTTTGATAGTAAGTTTCTTAAAGGGGTTAGCAGCCCTATTTAATATGTATTTAAAAAGTATAAATCTGTACATTAGTACAAGATGGTAGTCTTAAATAGAAGGTTAGAAATAGGTAGTACAGTGTTATAGAAACACAGTAGGTAGTGTGTAAGGAAATTTAAAAGGGATTAAAAAGCAGCAGACTGTAGGGACACACTGGTGGAAGAAACTGTTTGGTGTCCTTGCAGTCTATTCAGGTCCCGAGAGAGTGACTAAGGGCTAATTAATATAATCTTTCCATAGTTTTGAGTGAGTTATGGAGACACGATGGCAGGGATGGCATTGTTCTGAGTAGGTTATGGTATTAACACTTGTTCAGGGCTAGCCTTTGATACAGAAACGGGACTAAACACTGCTTGCAGCATAAGGCTGATAAGAATTGAATGGTATAAAGAAACAGTAATGAGTTGGCAGCCTAGGAAGGGAAGTTTAATTTAGTTTATCTTGTAAGAGTAAACTGTACTACAAAAAAGAAGTTTTATGAATGAATGAATTGAAACGCGGTATAGTGAACATAGAATGCTTGGGAGTGAATTAGTAAAGAGAACCATAAGACAATATCTCACAAATCGAACAGTGGAACTGTGAGGCAGCAGTGCTAACCCGTGCCTGTGGATTTTGGTACAAAGGTAGAAGCAGGTTGGGGGGGTAGTAGGAACTGCAGATGCTGGAGAATCTGAGACAACAAGGTGTAGAGCTGGATGAACACAGCAGGCC